GCATTGCGGTTACAGGAGTTCGATATCCGTGTTATCTACCGTTCTGGCCGGAAGCATTCCAACGCCGATGCCCTGTCACGTTCGCCATTGGCTTCAGAGCCTGTCGGCTCGCCTATCTGTGCTGCCTTGGCCATCAGTATCTCGGACATGCCTTCCGAGCAACGCAAAGATGCTTGGATTTCTTCTCTTTTGGACTTTCCCTCAAACCGGACGCCCGCTCCAGTTTCCAGGACGCTTCGCCGTCAAGCAGGACACTTCGCTATTCGGGATAACCTGCTTTACCGCCGAAACTACAGCTCGATGGGCCGTAAGTGGTTGCTCGTCATCCCCCGACATCTGCGCTCTGACATCTGTGCCACGTTCCATGATGATCCGCAATGTGGCCACGCTGGTGCGTTAAAAACATACACCCGCTTGCAGCTGCGGTACTACTGGCGCGGTATGTACCGTTTCGTTCGCCGTTACGTAAGGTCTTGCCTTACGTGCCAGCGACGCAAAATGCCCACTCAACATGCCACAGGTCCCTTACAGCCGTTGCCATGTCCCGCACGAGCTTTCGATCGTGTCGGAATCGACCTTTACGGTCCGCTTCCCTATACTTCAAGTGGCAACCGCTGGGTCATTGTCGCTATCGACCACCTAACGCGGTACGCTGAAACAGCTGCGTTACCTTCTGCTACCGCAAAAGACGTTGCGTGTTTTATACTGCAAAACCTGGTTTTTAGGCATGGAGCACCTCGGGAGTTACTAAGCGACCGTGGCCGCCTTTTTCTCTCCGATGCCATCAATGCGTTGTTGAGCGAGTGTCGCATCATACATCGCACTACCACAGCCTATCACCCGCAAACTAATGGGATGACAGAGCGTTTTAATCGTACACTTGGGGATATGCTGGCCAAGTACGCTTCATCCGACCAGTCAAATTGGGATAGCATACTGCCTTTTGTGACATATGCTTACAACACTGCAACGCAAAGCACCACAGGATTTTCGCCTTTCTTCCTTCTTTATGGACGCGAGCCATCATCAACAATGGATACCATTCTTCCTTATCGACCGGACCCTTCAGAGATGACTACCGTTTCTCGAGCAGCAGCACACGCTGAAGAATGTCGGAAGCTTGCTCGTGCGTTCACGTCACATGACCAGACGCGCCAAAAACATCGCCACGACGCGTCAACCACGCATATGAGCTTTGCTCTGAACTTACTGGTGTGGCTATGGATTTCTTCTACTACTCCAGGACTCTCCCACAAGCTTTCGTCCAGGTACCATGGCCCTTATCGAGTTGTACGCCAAACATCCCCTGTCAACTACCTTGTCGAGCCGCTGGATGCATCACCGGACAAGCGCCGTCGGGGAAAAGAAATCGTACACATCTCTCGGCTCAAGCCATACCATGACCCTTCTGTCTACACCTGTCCTTAGGTCGCCAGGAAGGCTCCCTCATCGGCCGGGGGTGATTGTAACGAGGGCAGTGGGCATGGAGCTCGGGGACAGAAAAAGAAGAAGACTTGCTGTGATCGCAGGCTTGCGTTCAGTTAGCCCTTGCGCTAAATAAAGCTCTCTTTCGCCGAGTCAACCCCTGCTTGTTCAAGAACCCGTTTCAAGATATATATATATATATATATATCTATATATATATATATATATATATATATATATATATATATATATGTATATATATATATATATAGAGAGAGAGAGAGAGAGAGCAAGATGCGCAAGGAAAGCGAGTGACGACGTAAGAGAGATAGGAAAGACAAAACATGGTAACAGGAGCCCGAGGATGGGGCACCACTTGCGTGAGCTCTTGCCCGTGACAGGAGATGGCGTAAAGCTAATCCTGTCGGCCAGAGCTGCGCTGTCGTCGTCGTAGGGGACCGGCGGCAGGAGGTGGCGTAGGACCAACCCAGCCGGCCAGAGCTGCGCTGTCGTCGGAGATCGCGAGGGCACAACCAGACGGCACGGAATCCAGTGAGCGAGTCTGTCGCGTGAGTTGAAATAGCGCTTCTGCGTGAGGCTTTAAGCACTTGCACGGTGCTCATTCTGAAATGCACGTGCGTAAGAACAATGCCCTGAAACCGTCGTGTGCATGGCATTCTGTGATTTAGAAAGATGTTTCTCTGTGCCTGTAAGCCCGGCTAGTGGATTTGTTCAGCTGATTCGTGCTTTGTGATTTCGTGCACGTATACCTCAACGCTGCAAATAACTCCGAGTACGCGTCAGTGGCCTTGTCGCTAGCTGCGCCTTGAAATGGGCAAGTGGTGCTTGTAGCGAATCGCAAGTCGGGGTATTGAACTTGTATGGAGCTTGTGTCGCTTCTGAACCTCCGCCTGAACCAGAACGCTTGGATAAGTGGCGATGGGCAATGGCTAGAGCTGACAGAGCTTTGCAGTCTTTTTGAAAGAAATATACATCCTTAGTGCGCACGAAACTGTTTTCCGGAAGAAAGATAGAGGCGAGAGATAGGACAGCTCTCTCGGCTCTATCTTCCTTCGGAAAACTGTTTCCTTAGTGCATTAAAGAAGTACATTTCTTTCCAAAATGCAATACCGACCAGCCCAAGTAGCCGCTATTTTGCAGAATACTGAGCTCTGACCATGTGTGCGCGAAGCATTTCATGGAAGAAGCGATCTCTGCCACATATCATGCAGAAAAACGTCCTTCTGCATGCACCGAAGCAACCTACGCTCAGTTAGGATGCTGTGCCTGCCATTTTATCGGGGCTTTCCTAAAATACCCGATCCGTGCAGAAAAAATCAGCAAAGCTCAACAAAGACATGCTGGCTATACTGCCGACTTCTTCCAGAGCGACGGGAGCCAGAAGGTTCGAATGAAACTGCAGTACCTCACACGACCGCTGAATGTACGTGAAATTTATTGCGCGTCGAGACCGTGACTCCACAACATGGTTATGATGAATCAACAGGCACGCATGCAGAAGGCAGTGCCTCGACTTCTGCAGCAAGGGGCCTCCTCACCGTCCAAGAGAACAATGCTTCTCAACACGACCCTGATAGTGTGGGCCTATGCGCTACCGACTTAGTTTTTCGCGACCCTGGAAAAGCAATATGTTGTTTTAAGTTCTGATGCCACTTTTTTGAGCTGCCTCATCTATACTTATTCGGACGAAGAAAAGAGTAAATGTTGTAGAATAACGAGTGAATAGAAATCATTGTATACTTACTATTTGTGCGATGCAGCCGTGTTTTTTACGTTCACATTATTCAAGTGATTATAATTAGTTTGCCATGCTTGATGTCATAAAACCAGGTGTTCTCGTCTTTGAAGGCCTCTGGCACTTCATCGAGATTGTCTTGGAACATCGAAGGCACACTTCTGGCCAAGGGGCTTATACAACACAACAGCATTTATTAGGGGCGAAGGCCTTGAACAGCCTCAGTTGCCTCATGAAACGTGAAATATGATTCTCGGCATACCGCATCGACGATGTCAAGGGACGAGTTGCACACAGTATACTGCTTTATCTAGAGTGCGTTCGCTTTTCCGGTCTGATAAGCACTTCATAAAGTTGAAGTCCACGCGGCCTTAAAAACTGCACAAAGTATGACTAATGGCACTGGCCTGACAGTCCTGACACATGTCATACGGGTTAACTCAGGGTCGATCTTCGCGACCCAGTGAAGTTCTTTCCACCATGACATGCTGTTTACATAAACGTTGCCTTACCCTGCCAAAGGCAAAAATGGAATAATCTGGGTGACGCTAACAGGCAAGATTGCCAAGGGTAGCGCTTCAATTTAGGTTCTTGATAGAATGCGTGTAAGTTTCGTGCTTCATTAGACGAAAGTTTTCTGACGAAGCTTTTCGTTCATTTCGATAACGAACCAGAACGCGACAACCAGAACGCGAAACACGCACGCACACACGTAGTAATGTACACTCACAAACTACACGCATGCAGACTATCTCCTTCCTAATAGCTAGTGAGCCCTTGCCCTCGGTCTGCTACGCCTACTGTAAACACCTCAAATTTTCTCTCTCGGACAACGGTTCGTTCTTGTTCTGAACCGAAGATGCTGACGCCAACACCGCCTACGTCAATCCCAGAGTTTCAGCAAAACAAGCTCTTTAGTGTTGTCGCGTTGAAAGGTGACCGCTCTCGTGGCTGAACGTATGTTTCTGTCGGAACATTTATATGACAACACTGTGAGGAAGCAAGCTACATATAAAATTAGGACATGAATTTCGTTAGATCAGCGTCAAAGTGCACGTAATAATGGACATTACGCGTACATGTCTATATTGAGAGTAATAAACAAGCGTGAATCCGCAGCAATAACCATCTACACGCGGATCGGAGCCACTCCCCAGCGAGCATCTCACCTACTCTCCGCGAGCGCCATCTGTCACGTCAAATGAAGACGGCCCAGGCGGCGAACACAATCTGCACGTGGCATAGGACGCAGTGTCATCAGCTAACGTATTCTTACACGTTGTACAAACTATTTGAACTTATGCCCCTTGCCGCGAATACAGCAGCGACACGAAGGTGAGAGTGGAGCACGTGATAAAAACTTGTGTTTAATGAGGGAGTACTGAAAGTGTTAAACTAATGAATTACACAGATTGGTGGAAATATTTGTGAACCTACTATACAATAATTTCAATAATTATTGTATTTAGTAGTTGACAATTGAAATTGTCTGCTCACTCGTTGTCATTAGACGATACCAAACAGCATTCTTGGCGAGCACCTACTCTGCCCAATGGCTAGTAAAAAAAAACGCACATTCGTTTGCACAAGACATGGGTGCAGCAAAAAAGAATACTCAGTATTGCGAAATCGACAAGATTATAAGGATAAGACGAGCGCTGCGACAGACCCAAAGAAGTCCTTCGCACTAAAACGCTGATTTTCTCAATGTAATGCTGGCTTCCTGGCGAAGCCAAGTAGCTTTTTACTGGTCACGCTACATAACACCGGTTTCGTTTTGTTTACTATGTTTCTGCAAGCAAGATTTTCTTCCACTTACCTATGAGAAGTGGCCTCACGAAGCATCCCATTGCTGTTGCAGTGTTCATCAAACCATAAGCGATTGGGAGGCTTTTCGAGTCTATTTCGGTCGAGAGGATCTGAGAGGTTCCAACAATTATGTAACCAGCTGGCAAGCCGAAGGCTGCTGTGAGGGCCCAGACACATTCCTTTCCCCGTACGTGTGGTGCCATGTACTGTAGGAGACCTAGTACTAAGTAAGCGATCGTGAGCAAACCACAGTTCGATATCAGGTTGTAGTCACTCAAGTAGGGGATGAACAGCCGGCCCACGGTGTCTGTGGCCGAGAAGAAAGTGAGCGCATGCACAGCGTCGGCACGTGATACACCGGCGTCGTGTGCGAAGTCGAATATCACCGACAAAAAACAGTCAATGAAAAAACCCCAGGACAGGTAGCTGAACGCGTGGAAGTAGAATCGCGGATTTTTGAGAACTTCCAGTATATTCTGCTGCGTAGACGTAGAGCAAGGTGCATCTTCCTGATCCCAGGGAAGTCCATGGTTAAATGAATTCCTGCATAGCGGTGAGGCGTCAAGTTCCAGCGATTTGCTTATGCTGGCGACCGTGGCTCGGCGAGACAGCCCTGCGTTTGACGCAAAGGAATGCCTTGAAACTTTGTTGCTCGTGTACATCGATCCAGCGACGCTCAGCATAGTTCCTCGCCTAGCACGTAACTCGTTCAAATCTGGTGTGTCGGCCCGGAAGGCTGAACTTTTTCTGCCACCACTGGCGAAAGTCCCTCGCCTGATATTGCGGAGAGATAAGCAGGAAGTACCGTATTGCTCTGGGGCATTGTATCTGCATTACGTGTAACATTTACCATTCTTTCTTTTTGGAATTCAGTGAGGCTTGATGGCTTTTCAGCTTTTGACGGTGAGTTCTTGTAAGTGCAACTGGTGAAAGTCGCTCGCCTAAATTTGGTCGGGAAGCGTCCAGACAGGAGTGTACTAAAACTGGAGGGCATCGTCGCATCTCCTGTATTGTTCACGATGCTTCGTCTTTGGCTTTCGGGGGTACTTGACTTTTCATTCAGGCTGATGACGGTCCACTCACTGCAGATGCCTTCAACACGATGTACTTGACTTTTTGGAGCCGGTTTTATGCTCTGTGATGACACTAACGTTGGCCGTTCAATCTCTAGGTACAGCTTGTCATCGCCCTCGTACACGGCTGCTCTCACTGGAGCACTGTATGGCTTCTGACAACTGTCCTTGGTGTCTGGGCTACTGGTATTTCCTTCAGGTTCCTCTACCTTCCATGGAGGAGCCTTCATAAGCATTGCTAATGGTACCACGTTCCCCATAGATGCTCCAACAATGAGAAAGGTGCCGTGAAGACCGTACTCGGCGAGCAAGTACTCGTACAACTTTGGGAACACTAGAGACGCAATGGTTGCTCCGGCCAGGTTCAGTCCCAACGCAGCACCTCGTCGCTTGTCGAAGTATTGAGTCACGCAACCACGCTGCTGCTCAAGATTATTCCATGACCAGAACCTGAAAAACGCCGAGGAAGTTGATATAACAATTACTATTACTCCATGCAGGTGTGAGCTACGGTGAAATATGCTAATTAGACGACTATAAGTTCCCAATGAAAAGAAAAAAAAGCTCGCTAACAAGTTTTTTTTTGTGGCGCTCACCATGATAACTTGTGCTTCTGGCACAAAAATACGCTAGTTGCCCGCAACCTCATGATGTCAGAGTTTTACGGTAAAATGAAAGTTCTCTTTAAGGGCTTATGAATATTACATTGGTTTGCGGCCATTTCAAGTTTTATGCTTTTAAAAGCAGAAACTTAATTGAAGTGAGAAATTTATTAGTGAGGAAAGGGTGAACTAGGTGGGGAATCTGTAAGTTCATAATAAAAAAACCCATTGAACTGGTAGGTGTATTTATATGGCCTGGAGTGAGTATGGTGACAGTTCCAACATGGATTTGTTGGAAGCAGGGTACCTTTTGACGAAGCCCCTGGTTATCACAACGTTTCTCGTTAACCCAAGTAGTAAAGACGCAGCTAAATTGCTAGATCGTGCGGCATTCACAGCGACTGAAAGTGATCGAGAGGGCAAACGATTTCTAAACAACTCCACTTGGACGGTTAGTTAAAAACCAGCTTGTGGCAGATAGAGACAGAGAGATAAATGGTAAGGTGAAGGAAGTGACGTTAACGAGAAGAAAATTTTGGCTGCTATTCAGTACAGGGGAAGCGGCAAGAGAAATTAATAGGAAGAAAAAGAGCGAACAGCTAAATAAACTATGGTGAAAAAACTCGCAGGTGCAATTAAGCCTAAAAGTGCCACAGCGCTCTAGCGAGGCCAGTTAACTAGCAGAAACTTAAGCAGCCGCTTCACCGCTTTCTGGGTGGAAGGTCGAGCGTTTAACGCAGCTGCCACCGATATTAACTGTTTGGAGTGGCAGTATGCCCTTGACAATGATGTGCGGTGCCCTCAACATGACCTGAGTACCCAATTCACCTGCCGGCACACGGCTCTGTCAACGAATACTCGTCATTGCCGTGACTATAGTTTATGAGATCAAATGTCTACGAAACATCGCTTGGAATTAAGCACAGTTACTAGGCAGTGCACGTTTCTCGGCTTGTGTTTTGTTATTGCCAAAGAGACGACCACTACATAGAAGAAAGTGGCATATTTTATGGTTACATTGTCACCAACAATCCATCTAAAGCACCTGAACTATTTGTTTGTGCAAAGTAAGGTGGATGGTACATTGGACTTCAAGCAATTATTGCTGTGGAGTTCTATGGGCAATATTTTGTAACATTTTATGGGAGCACGAGTTTACTTGGTTGGTAGTGCACTTAAGGTCATGCATCGCAAAAACTGTGATTGTTCGATGTCTCGTTAAGAGGCTTAATCACTTAAACGTTCATAGATTGTAGTCTCAATAACAAATATGTCCCATAATTCGAAATATTAAAATGTCCTGTGAGTATTTCAAGTCATATATTTGTATGATTTCTAATATTCTTGCCGAAGTCAGGTTGCCGTTAGTAACGGCTGAAGCTTATGTGGCCCCTTATTAGCTAGAAAATACAAAAGAAACTACAGCATCTCAACGAAGTGAATGACGGTGAGTGGGCGAAGCACTGTGATCGTTCGGTGTTACCGTAAATCACCAGTGACATTGGCTACATAGAGCAGTAATTGAGTCACAAATCAGTGAGCAGCTATATACTGTGTTTATTAGCCCTAAATAGTATGTCGCGTTGAGCGCTTGGCTCCATTACTCCTTCACTACTACTGCGTTGTGATCCGTGAAACGTATAGCCAATGGTTTTTTTTTTCGCATAAGTTTTCCGGTTTCAGTTGTACAAGGTGCTACCGCTTTGGGCTTGTGTGAAGTGCTTCGCCCCTAAAATAAGCGCTTTATTATGCCTTGGTGTTTCTCGCCCTTGTGGCACCATTCGTGACGCAAGGACAGCCAGTCCCATGACGCCCTTATGGTACGTCAACGCCTCCTCTACTTTATCTATGGCAGCCCGATCCAGCTGCTTTATCCATGGCAGCTCGATCCAGCTGTTCACTACTCTCTCCTCTAACCCTTTTCTGCTCTCGTCCATCTGCTAGCCTTCGCGTGTGCTTTGCAATAATGAAGGAGATGACCCCTCATGCAGTGCCTCACGACGCAAATTATATAAAGAATTTTTTTGTTCAGTTGTGTGCAGATCCATAGGCGGTGTCTTGCATTCCTCGCGTTCACAATATTAGTAATCACGTTGGCTTTGTAAAAGATACGGTGTTTTCAGATAGCATGTCGCTGTTCGTGGTGCTATGGGAGCAACCAATCGTGAAGCATCCCTGCAATGCGTCTGCATGCGCTGCTCTGTTATGCGGCGACGGCATTGCTTCGAGCCACAAAGAAGGAGTGCGATGGAACAGATGTGACAGACATATCCGATTGGAGTGGAAAGCAACTCTTTCGCATCCACGGGGGAAAGCACTCGGAAGCACATGTGATGCAGGCAGCGCCACCCATCATGTCACAACAGGGCCACTCCCTGAAATAAGGAGGGCTCAGGGCTCCCGTTCAGAAGCACGCGTTTGTACTGGCGTTGACAGAAATGAAGGCGTTGGACACTTGCTCTCGATTCGGCGCACATAGGTGAGGCATCCGTTGTGAATGAATTGTCACCTACAGTGCTTTGTCATGCAGTCACCCATCTGTCCTCTTTGTTATTTCGGAAGAGGGGCACCTTTTCCCGGTACAAGTGACTCACTAGAGAGGGCGCTGCGACAATGCTTCGTACCCAAGAAAGGGAACCGTGCGCCTGTTTATAAAATAAAAAGGTATGGTACAAAGAAAACAACTTGGGCTATTTGGTAAGACATTCTAAAGTGTAGTTCTGCGTTTGAAATTCAGGAAAGAATAACGGCAAAGAGAACAGGCCAAGTAATGCGTACAAGTACGCCATGTTTGTCCTGTTCTCTTGTCATTAGTCCTTCCCAGCGATGGGTTTTGTGCATTTTGATGAGTGCTGTTACAGTGAAATTCGCAAGACAGCGGCTTAATTACACGTTTATAAAAAACAGCTTTTGTCACATGGGAGTAGGGGGGATAAGCCTCAACTGCAGCACCCAAAAACGCACGTAACATGCGCATTTCGCAGTGACAACTAGTAAAACATCAGCAACAACACTAATTCAGTACAATAGAGAAAGATGAAAAAAAAACGCAAACGCCTTTAAGAGGTGTTTTGCGAATTAATGAGGAACGGGTGACTTTTTTGCCTCATGGCCATGTTCTGTGAAGTTGATGATTGTATACAGTGCTTATTGTTGGGAATAAGCCACTGACGTATCGAATTTAGGGGAGGGGGGAATTGTGCCTTCAATACATTACTCCTGATTTTTCGTCCAACTTCGAATGCGTCTAGATACATGCATACAAACACAACCAAAGACTTATGAATATGTTGCGTACGTACGTTCATGTGCTAACACACAAATCGCCCTGAAAATAGCGTTCGGCCAGTGCCCTTAGAATATTCCAATGCTTCACCTGCAGCCATGCACTCTATAAGTGCCCTTAGGGTAAGACTAAACTATGTGGCCGTAATTGAGATATGCGGCTGTAGTTAAAAAATCTATAGTGAAATTGCGATGACTCGACCGTTGTTTTTACAACGGTAAACTATATTTAGAGGCTGAATCTGCATAAACACTGGTTCACGTTTTGATACTGCTGGACCGATGAAGGGTCAATGGTCGTCCACGCATACATGCTGATTACAGAAGTTTCGCAACCAGATATACACTTGCTTTCGTTTGTTAAACTAGGTTGGTGTGCGTTTCGCATCACGAGTTGCCCATAAAGTCTAAATTTCACCGTGCGTGGACCATCATAGATATAGCCATAAACTAAAATTTTAGCACTCTCTAACGTGATGACTACTTCGAAAAGGCATACTCACCAGATAGAAATCCAGCTGTGAAGATGAGGACCGTAACTCCATTGGCAAAAAAAGACGCAGAGAGACCAAGGGTAAGGCAAGTGCCTCCTATAATAGCAGACATCCGCGTTCCGTAGGCCGGTATGAGGATGGCGGCAAACAAGCCTGGCAGAGAGAGGGGAGAAGTTACTGAACGAAATGCAGGTAAATAAATCGTGCGACAATTCATACGTCGTCCTAAACTGCCGGAGACTAAATCCTAGAAAATATCAAATGCAAATAAACTCTGAGAAGACAACACTGACTGCTTGAACTTATCAGCCTTACTCAGCTATTGAAAAGAGGGCCAATGTGAAATAGGGCACAAACCAAACTAGATGTGGTGTGTCCGGAACGACCTTATGTAATTAACTGATGTGGGAAGAATCGATATCAAATGGGTGACCAATGAGCGTTACCGTTACAGCATCGTACTGTTTAGGTGGATAGAGGCTTATCCACCAAATATACATACAGGCGAGTATTCACGAAACATTCCCCTACCATAAGAAACTGAGTGAGAATATATTAGAAGGCAGAGAGGTAGGTCGGAGCTATAGTTTGTTTTAGGCTGCTCCTCTGGACGGGGGATAAAGGAGGGGGGAAACAAAGAGAGATGGAAGATGACGAGGGGGACAAGAAGAGGTAGGTGCGTGTTTACAGTAGCCAGTTACCATCGCACCCTAGAGCTTAGTATATAGTCAAGTGCATTTGATAAAGTCTAAAACAGCAAGAATAATTAGGAGAATATTTAATGAATAGCTATGTGCTGTGAACGTCAAGAATTAACGCGTAGAGCACTGGCGTTATGGCAGCGTCGTCACTTTTATGCTTCGCATCGTTTCATGATTAAAATACTGGATGTGTGATAACTAGTTGATAGACAAAAAGGTGAACCCCTTGTCGTTCATAAGTTACATTCACTTCTCTCCCTAAACGAGTGATGGTATTTTCAGCCATCCCAAAAATTAATAAAAGTTGACACTATTGAACAAAACTAATAATGAATGCGAAGCATTTCGTCGCATACTGCAAGAACTTTCTCTTTTTATCTACGTATCTATCTGCCTAGACGCCCCCGTCTGGGTACTCTCGTAATCGCCTGCCTAACTTAGGGTCAACCAAAATTATATGGGAGGATGAAAAGATTTTACAATCACGACTGTTTTGTTATAACATGAGTAACTTGAATATCCCGTCGCGTACGTCTTCGAACTCATTTCGTACACCAGACACGCGTAGCTCATCGGCGCGTGTATACCCGTATATCAGGGACCACAGTATGCTGTAATGCGCCGCAGGTGTTTGACAGTTTATGTCTGCCCAGGAGGAGCTACGACAAACGTTTATAATTTGAATGCTGGAGTGTTAAGAAAAACTGACAACCGAAGTATTGAACCTGAAGATTGCAATAGGAGTGAGGGTTCGAGCAGAAATTCAAGCCAAGCAATCAGCGTGGCAATCAAATATTCTGTCACACAGACACGTCATGTCTCGACACTGCCCTGTACGAAGGCCTTAAGCAGGCATAATGTTCACGAAGCGTATTCGCAGTGCTGGGCTATCAGACCTTCGGCGATCGTTAATCTCATTCGCGGCAAGGCAGGTCGGCATTTATACACGTGGCCGCGAACATTTGAGCATTAGCGCGGGTGGTCACGTTTGTTTGAGAATAAACGCAGATATGCGTGTTGGCATGCTCAAGCCTCACAGATGGTTTTAAGATGGCCTTGAATAATCTCAGACATTCTGGCACGATTTGCGTAACGTATTACCTAAAAGTGAAGTAGGCTGGCAACTTCAACCAATACACACAAAGAAAGGGGCATTTGATTGATTGATTGATTGTGCGGTTTAACGTCCCAAAACCACCATATGATTATGAGAGACGCCGTAGTGGAGGGCTCCGGAAATTTCGACCACCTGAGGTTCTTTACCGTGTGCCCAAATCTGAGCACACGGGCCTACAACATTTCCGCTTCCATCGGAAATGCAGCCGCCGCAGCCGGGAATCGAACCTGCGAACTGCGGGTCAGCAGCCGAGTACTTTAGCCACTAGACCACCGCGGTGGGGTAAGGGGCATTTTGGCAATATGCACAACTGTTATGAACAAACGAGTCCTGTCGAAGCATCTCGAGGTTTATTTGGTGCATCTAGAGGTTTATTATCGTAAAATTCATTTCTACTAAATTCGAAGTATGACTCTGCATTATTCTCAACCAATCAATATTTTATAATAATATAGACCACGAAAACTGAGAACACAGGAAGTGTATTCCACATATCTGGAAGGAACGCAGCTAACGCATGGAGACACACGCACATATATTTAAACACATTGATTGATTTGTGGGGTTCAACATTCCAAAACCACCATTTGCTTATGAGAGACGCCGTAGTTTTAACACAAAATACCTTTGGTTCTTCATACTTCAACCTTCATGCTGATTGCTACGAGACTTAAGCATACTTCAGAGGTCATCTAGCATTTCCCAGTGCCACCAGAAAACCATATATTCGAGATATCTTCTCGCACTGTTGGTGGCCCTGCAAGCCTAAAGACTTCTCACTCCGTACGCGAGAAGGCCACTGTTGAATGTCAGATGGGTGTAGTCTACGAGATACGGCTAATATCAGGATAAATTTTCATTATCCGAACGGGCCAATCTAGGACCTCTTAGGTATACGGAAAAATTCGAATGTTCGAAAACATTATCAGTGAATGTTTTTCGAGCTTATCTCAACACATGAAGCGCTAGTCATAGGTTTATTTATTTATTTATTTGAATACTTTCCATGCCCGAAGGCTTTACAGAAAGGAGTGGGGGTTATACAACAAAAAGTAAGCGAAATGTTACAATTGCTGCAAAATGGAGAGTTTGAAGTTTGCAGGGTCGATGAGGGATGCGGTGGCAGCGGAAAGGCAGTTCCAGTCTTTGCTTGTTCTGGGAATGAAGGAATCACTGTAGTGGTTTGTTCGGCAAAATGGCACACCTACTTTAAAGCAATGATCGAAACGGGGTGAAATGTAAGAGGGGGAAGAGAGAAGGCTCTCTTTTAAACATGGATTGTATTGATAAATTTTATGAAAAAGAGAAAGGCGAGAGCATTTTCGACGGAACGATAAGTCGGTTAGGTTCAGAGTTTTTTTCATGGCTGTGACGCTGGCATGACGGGAATGATTGCACAAAATGAAACGGGCTGCGCGGTTTTGAACGGCTTCTAGAGTGAGAGTTAGGGTTAGTTGACCGGGATCCCAGATGGCGCATGCGTATGCCAGTTTAGAGCGTACTGAAGTTTTGTAAAGGTTTAGTTTCACTGACATGGGTACGGAAGAAAAGTTTCGTCGCAAATATCCGAGCATGCGGTTAGCATTATAAGTGACGTATTCGACGTGTTTCTGCCAGGATAGATTGTTAGTAATGTTAAGCCCAAGCTATTTATACTAGTGCATTGAGGATGATGGAGCATCATTAAGAAGATACATGCAAGTGTTAGAAGCCGAAGTTTTTCGAGATACACGCATGCTTTTACATTTTGTTGAATTAAGCTTCATCCGCCAGTCACGACACCAAAGAGACACGTTATCTAGGTCATTCTGAAGTCTGATAGAATCAGTTGGGTTAGTGGTTTTGGAATACAGCACACAATCATCAGCAAATAATTCAATGGTTGAAAACTTGACACAGTTAGGAAGGTCGTTTATATAATCAAAAATAACAATGGACCTAACACAGAGCCCTGCGGCACCCCTGATGTTACGGCAGAGGTATCGGAAGAATAGTTGTTAGCAGTGACATATTGCGACCTGTTAGAGAGAAAGGACTTAATCGCGCCAAGCACATTAGGATCAAGGTTCAATTCATTTATTTTAACAAGGAGAAGTTCATGAGAAGCGGTATCGAACGTCTTATGAAAATCAAGAAAAATGCAATGAGTGTCGTAAACTTCGTCAGAATTGGCAAAGAGATCGTTAGTGAAAGATGCTAGTTGGGTTTCGCATGAAAATCTTCTCCTGAAGCCAGTGTTGGGAAGGATTAAAAAAGGAATTTGTTTCAAGGAAGTCCATTAACTGAGAGAAAATAATATGTTCGAGTAGCTTACAGGAAATGCTTGTGAGAGATATTGGTCGATAGTTTTCTGGAAGATGCGGGTTACCTGACTTATAGACGGGAACCACCTTTCCGGAATTCCAATCAGCGGGTAGTGATGAACACTGTAATGACTGATGAAAAAGCTTTGCAAGGACAATGGATGAACACACTTGTGTTAATTTCAACATTTTAGAGCAAATTTCCTCGGGGCCTGCAGAAGAAGACATTTTTAAACCCTGAATTAGCCTAGTTAAGCCCACCCAGGCCATCAAAAATAGGTTCCATGGGTGGAAAATCGGTATGGGGTACATGGGGATATAATGAAGGGGCTGTTGTTTGAAACACTGAAGAAAAAGCATTATTTAGAACCGTGCAGCTTTGGTCAGGTGGTACAACGAGGTCAGAGATGTTAATTGAATATTAGATCGAGATTCACCTCTCATTATGCTCCAAAATTTGCGGCGATTAGTCTGAAGAAGAGCAGGCAGTGTGGAATTAAAAATGTTGTTTTTGCGTTGCTAACAGCATCGTTATATTTCTTGTTTATGCTATAGTACTCAGACCAACGGCTGGGGAGGTTAGAACGTTTAGCGCTTCGGAACAGACGCTTCTTTTTGTTGCGGAGTCGGCGTAAAGTGGAACTAAACCAAGGAGAGCGAGGTTTAGTGCAAATCCTTATGGTGGGTACATGTTCGTTGAGCAAAGATAATAATTTGTATTTGAAAAGCTACCAGTTATCATTGACAGATCGTTCTTCATAGTTAGTTATGAATTCCTCGGTAAAACGTTCCATTTCTGCTGTTATTAGTGCTGTGTTGGCACGCGAATAATCCCTTAATAATTTTGAAAACCTTAGATCTCGAGGGGCGGTGAGATTGCGTGGTGAAATGTAGTAACATGTGATCGCTTAGTCCATCGAGATAAGTTATCGAAGAAATGAGATCAGGTGAAGTTGTAAGTACGAGGTCTAGAAAGTTAGAACAGGTTGATGTTGACCGCGTGGGCTCAAGAACAAGCTGAGTGAGGTTAAAGTCCTTACACGAATTCAGAAATTCTATATTTTCTGGTAAGTTTTGTTTTACGCTAACGGAGTTTGCACGCCATACAATACCGGGAAAATTGAAATCACCCGTGAGGATCAAGGGGGAATTGGGATAGCGTACAATCAACAGATTCAGAACATCATGAAGTTCAGAACAAAAGGAACGGAAGGAGCTGGGGATCGATAACATGCACACAAAATATAGTCACAACAGGAAAAAATGATTCGCACACATACTATTTCTAAGGATTACCTGATCGGAACCACAGAGGAATTAAACGCTTCATTGACAGCAACGAGCACGCCCCCACCGATACGGACGTCACGGTCATAACGATACGTTCTGTACGCCTTATCGCAGTCAAATATTTCACTACTTCTTATTTTTGCTGAGAGCAACGTTTCTGTTAATACGATAATATCGGCTGAGCAAGAATCAATGGCTGAAGAGAGGGTGGCACGCTTATTCATGAAGCTTTGAATGTTGCTGAAAAGAAACGATACATTGCTTAGACTGGATTTGGGAAGAGATTGCTAGGATGATTCCGGAGAGAGACTGCTCGTGGAAGCGCCGCCACTATCAGGAGGCTGTGTACCACGAGGAACGCCTGTCTGACGGGAGCTATCAAGCGCGTGAACACTGTTGGTTATTGCGCAGTATCCATATTGCTTCTTATTCATCACAAGTTTGTTGTATCGCAGCGAAAAAGATTGCCCGTTTGCTTTTCCGAATTCGATAAGCTTTTTCCTCCAATGCCGAGTAGCTTGTCAGAAGTCCTCACTCAAAGAAAAATCTGTATTTTTAAAGCTTGCTTTGTAGTGACAGAATGTGGTCTTTCGTTTTAAAAGACCAGAATTCGGTTATTATTGGGCGAGTCTTACTCGCCGCAAAAGAGCCTAACCTATGCGCCCTGGAAATCGCTCCTTCGGGTAGTTCAAATTCAAGAAAACGCGTGCAAATATCCCGGATGTGACCCTCAGATTCCGCCCAGGTCTCAGATAAATTGTCAGGGATTCTATAAAAAATGAGGTTATCTCTCCGCGATTTGTCCTCTAGTTCAATCAGGCGAGAGGTAAATTCAGCGCTCTGCGCATTAACTGCCTCTGAGACAGTCCGTTTGATTTCGGTTGCAACTGGCACTACATCTAGGTTTTCAACGATAGATTCAACAGTTTCTAGCCTGGCCGCAAGGTCTGATACCTTTGCCGCGAGTGCTGCTTGAGTTTTCTTCAGATTGGCAAATGCCTCCATTACCTCCTCACTATGGTGGTCGTGTTTGGAAGAGAGGGCAGCAATTGCGGCAAGCAATTCATTGTGCTGTGAGGTAGAATCAACACGATTGGGCCCGGGGTTTAGCTCGACGTCTCCACAGAGAAAGAGCAACTTACAAACAAAAATACAGCCACACAAAATTTCATGAAGTACACTTGGGCACGGGAGCAGCAGCAAAAATGCGTTATTAGAGCGCTTACAGTGTATAGATGGGGCGGTACCAATCTGCACAGAGAAGGGCGGTGCGTTGAAAGGCGAACGCATCGTAGCTGCTCTCCCGTGCCCACTGAAGGACGACAGGCGATGCCAATCGTTTAAGTCAGCCTGATTGGGTGATGTCCACGACGATGGTGCTGCTGGGCTGGTTACTGGGGTAGTCACCGTCTCCAGCCAAGGTTGAAAGTAAAGCCGATCCTGTGCGGTACTTGTTTCCACGACGAACGGAGCAGCAGACACTGGAAGCACAGCTGCGTCACCCAAGATAGGATTCCATGCGCCGAACAGGAAAAAAATTGCCCGCAGCTTCCCTCGGGGGAACACTGAGGAGGATGCGGAGCATATAATTGGTTAACGGGGTGTTAAAGTGCGACTTACTTGGGTCGATGGCTAAATTGGTTAACGTGGTTGTGAAATGGGGTGTTAAATTGCGACTTACTTGGGTCGATGGCTAAATTGGTTAAAGTGGTTGTAGGAGGGGGTGTTAAATGAGTGAACACGTACACACGTATGCGAAAGGGCGGCGCTGGTCGAAGGGACGTCGATCATTGTGTTTGTGGATTCGTTGGAATTCATTTCACCGCGACCTTGGACGTCGACGCGCCGTACAAACCAACCGACGAGCGGCAACTGAGCGAGCGAGCGCCGACCTTGAGTATATATACAGCTCGACGGCGCATGCACTGTCAGCTGTTGAATGTTCTCGAAGCGCGACGCCACATGCGCGTCCACTGGAGAATCAGGAGAATTGTAGATGTCGAACGCGGTGTGTAGAGGAGGAAGGGTGCACAGATGGTGGAGGAGTGAAGCGCGCGCGGTGTACTGCACAAAGAAGGGCGGTGCGTTGCAAGGCGAACGCATCGTAGCTGCTCTCCCGTGCCCACTGAAGGACTACAGGTGATGCCAATCGTTTAAGTCAGCCTGATTAGGTGATGTCCACGACGATGCTGCTGCTGGGCTGGTTACTGGGGTAGTCACCGTCTCCAGCCAAGGTTGAAAGTAAAGCCGATCCTGTGCGGTAGTTGTTTCCACGACGAACGGAGCAGCAGACACTGGAAGCACAGCCGCGTCACCCAAGATAGGATTCCATGCGCCGAACAGGAAAAACTGCACAAAGAAGGGCGGTGCGTTGAAAGGCGAACACATCGTAGCTGCTCTCCCGTGCTCACTCTAGTCAGGTAGCGATAAGTTCTCATAAACTATCGGGTTGTGTTGATTATTTTTCTTGTATGTTGTGTTAAAATCACACTTTTTCACAACATCAGAAAAATAATTCAGGAAGGTACTTGCGAACGAACACATACAAGGTCTTTTTGCCACCTTCGCTATCATTTAGTGAATAATTGCCTCAGGTTGGCTTGGTAACAATCCCATTTGCCGGAACTTAGGTGTTTCCTGTTATGCGATTGAAGTCAAATGCTCCAAAAGAAAACAAAACAAAGTCTTTTTTTATTTACTGGTACATTCATACGAAGCCTTCTTCCACAAGTATTCTGACAATATACGGGGTTGATCGGGATAGACCAACTATAAAAAGCGATAGCCTTTGAAAACCCCTGTCACTAAAATGCCGGTGTAGGCGTGTTGGTACATTAGCAATATCGCAGAATGAGAACTTGTGTTGCATGAGAAGAAATAAAGAAAACGTTCATGTGGAAACCCGGTCATTTGCATGCCGATCATTAGTGTTACCAAGCAGCGCTAGCTTTCTTGTTCTTTTAATGTAGTGGTTTTCATTACGATGCATATTTAAACGTAAGATACATGTTATAAGGTAGTGTTTCAATGACTATACTAGAATGTTCCAACAAAAACTTTCACTCAAGCACGCAAAAGTACGCACTCTACGTTTGCGCGCGCGCGCGCGTGCGCACACACACACACACACACACACACCACACACACACACACACACACACACACACACGCACACGCACACGCACACACACATCTTAGAGTTTGGCCACAAGGGCAAGGTAATGAATGCGATAGCAAAAAATAGTAATGTTATGCGAAGTAGGGCTTGAAGCTACTTGCTTACGATCTCGTTTGTGTGATTCTGCAAAACGCAAGTGTAAGATTGTACAGGCGCTCCAGCGAGAGAAAAGATTTTCGCTTTCGCACATTCTCTTCGCGTTTAGAACACATCCCGTAGGAGTGTGTTGGAGCAGTTTCCTGATGCCTGTCGAGATACACATGGCTCGCTCGCCACTTTTCGCTACACCACGCCCCACACCTCGCCCCACACCTCGCCCAGTTCACTGTGTCTACTATACTCCTTCCGCTCGCCTGTTAATGCTTTTGAAGGCACGCTATGTGTTTCCTCTGCTTGTGAAGCAATCAACGCTAGCCCCGCCCGCAGGGTGAAAAAAACATTAAAAAACACTGGAACTATGGCATTTACAATAAAACAGAAAAATATTAAAACACGCAATATTTAGGGTGTTGAGTTTAGTATTATGCGTGGAAGGTCATCTGTTTTGTTTGTTTAGTACATTATGTGAGCGAAAATCCATAGCTTCTACGCAGTCTCTGAGTGTTCCAAAGAAGACTGTCATGTTTAAGACGTAGATTGTAAATCCTATTAAGAGTCGATTTCCTTATATGCGTATGTGGCGGCTGTTATGGATTAATGATGGTGGAAACGTTCTTAGAACAGCAATATTTTAACTATTGCAATACTTTAACTTTTGCATGTAACTATTTAGGACGTTTGTGTAATCTATGGTATACCTGAAATGAAATGCATTGCACGTGTGGCGCTGTAAATTACTAATGCGATAATTTTTTAACAGCGGTAACTCAAAATAATTGACAGTTGTAAGTAAATAGATCACTACAAGTTGCAGTTTTTTGTTGTTCTTTAAAATATTTTGAGATTTTTTCAAGATTTCGATTGTATTACTAGGTTTGTTTTTATATAACTGATACGGTGCTCTCAAGACATGTAAACGCAACACGGAACGTTTCCACAACAGGCGTGAATTGTACTTTAAAAGATACAAGTACAAAGCAGCGCCTCGGTAGAACAGTGATTACGGAGCCCGGCTCCTGAGACAAAGGCTACAGGTTTGAACCTGGTCGCAATGGTTTCAAGTATAATCAGGCAAAATGCTGGAGCACCACATACAGCATGATGTGCACCAGTTACTCGAAATGTTTGAAGCTTTCTACTTCGAGGTCTCTCATACTTATATTGTGGTTTTGGGATGCAAACATCAGTTATATACGTTGGGAATCGGGCATAGCACATGGCGTACATTCGGCTCAGAGAATAACAGCCTTAGTTTTAGAACGACTGATTCCGAACTGATCAAAACATTTACATGGTATGATTTATCTGCTGATCAGCAACCTAGGCAAATTTAGCGTGTTGATTTATCGTTCTTCAGTATAGGGAATTCGTTGTTTTTCACTCACGTCGATTGTGAATAACAAAAACGTCTAAGGTATCCATATGTCATGATAGCACATCAATCAGGCCTGCGAGCTAGTTTGCAGTGTTCAACACACTTGGCCACATCGTGTGCACGGCACTGATCTGTAACCAAGAGGGTGTGTTTCGTCGGTCAGTTATGTGGAAACGCACGTGTCACTTACATTGCTCGGATGATAGAAAACCTGAAGGACTAAGGTGCATAGCCAGCATCAATAAGTGATCGTCCACCATGATGCACCTGAGAGTGAAAAAAAAATTGGCCAATCCCAAGTATCATGAGAAGCGATGTAATGCGAAGCATGTGGAGGTGTAGTACCTGGGTTGCAACTTTCCTTTTAAGCCCCGTCGCGGTGGTCTAGTGGCTAAGGTACTCGGCTGCTGACCCGCAGGTCGCGCGTTCGATTCCCGGCTGCGGCGGCTGCATTTCCGATGGAGGCAGAAATGTTGTAGGCCCGTGTACTCAGATTTGGTGCACGTTAAAGAACCCCAGGTGGTCAAAATTTCCGGAGCCCTCCAATACGGCGTCCCTTATAATCAAATGGTGGTTTTGGGACGTTAAACCCCACAAATCAATCAACTTTCCTTTTAATCAAAGCTTTATTAGTTCATTACAGCCTTGTAATGACGCCAACAGGGACATGAGCATTACCGGCGCCAGAAGTGGTAAGCTGATATGTAGAGATTGTGCTTACGAGAATGGTAACCACGTGAAGTGCTACTTGAACTGACTACACTATATACTAGATGGTGCTTAACCAAACAATTGACGTTAATTTGTTATCGAGCCATCCTCAGGCAATAATAAATAATTTCTAGTGAAGGTGGCGAAAAATTCTCGTATGCGTTTGTCCACGAGTAGCTTCCTGAAAATTTTTGTTATGTGGTGAAAAACTGTGATTTTATTAAAACATACAAGAAAAAATATTCAAGACAACCCGGTAGGCTCTAAAAACTTATCATTAGCGCTTCGTGTGTTGAGATAACCACGAAAAACACTCGCTGATTATGTTTCCGAATATGCGAATTTGCACGTTCAACTAAGATGTCGTAGATCGGCCTGTTCGGATAAAAACAATTTTGCCTGATCTTAGCAGTATCTCGTGGACTATACGCATCTGGCATTCAACAGTGGCCTTCTCTCGTACGGAGTGAAAAGTTTCTAAGCTTGCAGGGCCACCACCAGTGCGAGAAGATATCTCGCTGTTTGGTTCTCTGGTGGCACTTGGGTATGATGGATGACCTCTAAAGTATGCTTCCGTCTGTTAAAATCAGCATGAAAGATGGAAGTATGAAGAGTCGGAGGTGCTATGGGTTCAAATATTTGTGTTTGTGTCTATAAGTGTTAGCGCGTTTCTTCTAGAAATGTGGGATACAGTTCCTGTGTTCAGAATATTTCGTGATCAATAATATTCTCAAATATTGATGGGTTGAGAACAATGCAGAATGATACTTCAAATTTAGGAGAAAATGAACTTATCGATAAATAAACATCTGGATGCACCGAAGTTTTACCAGAAACAAACTTTGAAGAACACGTTGTCAAATTCAATAATAACAAAAAAAGATGGGTTAAGAATAATGCAGAAACATAGTTCGAATAAAAGAGAAGATGATCTTTATGATAAATGAACCTCTAGATCCACCAAATTTCTGCCAGAAACAAA